GTTTGCTGCCGATTAAAATGTCTAACTTCCGATCAGCAGGGGGGAAGGTCGTAGAAGCAGTGAAGTCGCACAGCCACGAGAGAGCCGAAGCAGCCGTCGGACTCACGGGATTTGGCCGAACGAGCGTGCAAAGGGGAGGAAGTTATCTTCAGTGCACGCGAGCTCCCGTTGTTGTTTCCGATCAAAATGTGTAACTTCCGATCCTACTGGAAGGGAAAGTCGATGGAGGAGCGAAGCCGAACAGCTCTGAAGGAGCAGGAGGAGTGACGAGCTCCAGTTGTTGATCCCGATCAAAATGTAGTGGCTTCCGATCGGATGGAGAAAGTCGTCGGAGCAGCAAGGTCGAACATCCACGAAGGAGATGGGGAAGCGGCGAGCTACCGTCGTGCTTCCGATCCGAACGGGAAAGGAAAGTTGTCGATCGAGCGAAGCGAGCAACGACAGAACAGAGGGAGAGAGTGAGAGCGAGAGCCGATTGTCGAGAGAATGAGAAGAGAGGTTTCTGCCTCTTTTCTTTTCATTTTAACGACACAGGGTAGTGCGAGGTCGTGGGAGAAATGACGACAACGTGCGAGCGACGTGCGATTACAGGGGGTAGGTACATGGATTTTAATTTTTTTGTTTTCTCTTTTGCTTTATACAGCAGGTCAACAGAAATATACATAATTTGACATCTATGGCAAAGTAGTCAGAATTTTGGGATAAATTTATACACTCAAATAGTTACCAATCGTAGCACTATTCACAAATAGTGTTCACAACAATATATTGGGATTTTTATTCTTCTATAGCAACTTTCATCAAAATTCGTATGCATATTAAATTATAGAAAACTCTGCACAATAAAAAATACCCAGTACTAATAAAAAAAATACGTTAATGTGTAGAATAATAAGAATAATGATATATAAAAAGTTGAGTAGTGAAAATTTCCTAAATGTTAGAATATACCCACTTTTGTGTTGTTTGTGATGAAAAAACTAAAACTTTGATAAAAATCCGTATTTTCAAAATTAATGATCATATAAATTAACCTAATTTGATCCAGACAACTTTCACAACTGGCTCGACTAAAAAAAAAATATTGCCTGAAGACGCCAAAAATGAACTTTCTATCTCTAGAAATTCTCCTCTCTGTCTCTCTCTCTTTCTCTCTACTCGGTGATCCAACACTGGGCAATGATTTTGAGATAGGGGAATTTGATATTTATA